ACCTGTAAACCTCCCACCAACTTCCTTGACAGATGCTATAGTCCAGATTCAAATCCTGCACCTTCAGTATCACACAGGCCAAGCTGAAAATTATAAAACTGTATTTTTAAAAAATGTTAAGGCCAAACCCAAGCAGATTCCAAGAAATATGAACAGAGAAGATGCTCTTAGGATAAAGATTAGAGATTTGTCTGCTTTTCCACATGCTTGCTGCACAGTTTTGGGCTGTGCAACTGAACCTCATCAAATATAGGGCATAGACCTGTTTACTTCCTCCATGCACTGAGGAAAAGGTTTTTTCACTCACCTTCTCCCCCACTCCTTCAGGTGTGAATTCTGTCTCTCCATCATAAAGCTGTGACTTCACACAGCACGTGCAGCTGCACGGCTTTGCCTGCGATTCACCAAGTTTTCTTTAGCACCGCTGGTCACAAGGTGAGAAAGTAACCACGGTATCATTCAAGAACTGCACAGAGCGCTGTAGAGGAGTACGCAACTTGACATGATACGATATACAGATGCACACACATATTAGGAGCTACAGACACCAGAAGACATGGCATTTGAGAAGTCTTTGGGTGTGTGAAAGAGCAGAGCAGTCACTAGTTTTCCATAAGTGATCAGGGAGGATGGTCTTGAAATAATGACTGGAGAATTGTAGTTAGGTTATTCAACATCAGGGTCTGCTTTTTCCACGTCTCCTGCCCGGTGCAGTTCTTGAACTGTGCAGCTGAACTCCAGTAAAGCACAGCTGATACCACTCTGCCTCCCAGAGATGTGATAAAGGACAATTTATTTCAAGATGAACAAACATGGAGGCTACAGTGAAGTGACAACACAAGCAGATCAGTCTTGTTTCTTACTCTGCAAGTTTACTGCAGTTGAACAACTGCCCTCAATACAGGGAGACAGAAAATAAGGCAGATCTTACTGGGGCAGAAGGAAGACACTGGGAGAGCCCTGTTCAAGGGAGGGAGAAGTAAGAATGGTCTGGAGAGGGATTAGCAGCACACAGTCTGTTTGAGCTTAAATAGGAAGGTCACCAACAATTGATTTTCCAGTTAGCAGTTTCATGAATGACAGTTTAAAATTAAGCATGCACTGCTCCACCCTCTAAGGTGCTTTCTCATGCCTCCACAATTATTTTTGGTCACTGGCTTTGAAGTTCCATGGTGGTGTAGGGCAAGAATTCAAGCCCCGAGAGCAGGCTTGTCACACTGAAAAACAAAGCTTGTGGGGGACATGGAGGGAAGGGAACCTAGTGAAAGTGGTGCTGAAACTCAGAGGTGAAGTGGTAGGGGGGAAGCAGGATTGCAAATTTTGGATGGAAATCATGAATAATGAAATCTGTTTTTTTGACTAGTGTTGGAGAAATGAAGGCCTTCAGAACTGGAATTTCCCAGTTCTGTCCAACCCCCACAAGCTCAGGACTGGGGTCAAGAGGAAGGTGTGCTGCTACAGAGAAAAGGAAGTTTAATAATTTTGAAGATGTGATAGGATCTGCATTTTTTTCTATTCAAAATTACATATCAAGATTAACAAACCTACTTAAAAAAATATTGATGTCACCATACGGAATCAAGTTTAGCTCAAGTATTTATTTATTTTTCTTTCTATGTCTCTCATCTGCCAAAACTCTCAGGCTGGCACATATTTGTTAAAACTAAAGTATCTCACTATTAGGACCAGGCCTATATGTAGGCAATGGCTGTATACCACGGATGCATTGAACCTGGTGCCTATGCACAGCAGCAAAGACACCATCCGTGGGCTGGCAGACACCAGTGATCCAACACTGTTGCAGTATCGCTGATTCTCTTTGACCATGTCACTGCAGCAAGTTAAGAGCAGTTTTTGGTGAACTTTCATTATTTGTTCTGCCAACAGCATTGAGGCAGAGTATATATACACCTTATTTGGGTTCTGCAATTCTTTTATCTTTGCAGTCACACTGATGGCTCTCCCACGGTTGTACTGTGCTTTTTGTATTTCTGTCAGACAACTCAGGGCATTGATTAGCAGCAACATGATACTTTCTGAGATTTTGAAGGCTACCCCAGGCAAACCTGGCAGGAGAAGGCCCTGACCAATCTGATCTATCTCTGAATTTGTCCATGCTTAGGCAAGGGCGTTACATTAGAGACCTCCAGAGTCCTTTTCAACCTAGATTGCTCCATGATTCTGTGATGTCTACCTGAAGGCAATGAAATTTTGGCCTCAAGTAGAGTTACTCCAAAGACTGGGAGCTCCATCCCTTTATCTTCAGGCCCAGAGGGGTAAGAATTGAAGCTTAGAATTCTATCTTAGGACCGTGGAGAATCAAATCCAACCCAACTTTCAGGTAATTACACAGTATTACATCAGGGAAGCATTCCTGTAATTTTAAAAGCAGCCACAATCCTCTCCAGACAGAAGGCAATGCTCTGAGAAAGCAATACGGCCCTCTGTGTCCTTCCTTGATAATTAAGCATTGTCTATGTCCAGAGTGGCTCTGTAAACCTCCTTCCTTTATTAATTATGCAATACTGCAGAAAGCTAAGGTAGTGGAAACTGGACACAGCTAGTCTCATCAGCATCATATTATGCAATGCACTATGGCACAGTCTCCCAAGCTAGCAACATCCAAGCTAGGACCCCAGGAAGACCCAGTCTCAGCACTGCAGACCCCTTGTATTGTATTTCAAGATGTTGTTCAGCAGTTACAGAATGCATCCCAGGTGCTGGAGGAAATAGTGGATGCACATCTTTTGTTACTAGGTGCTGACACCTTCACACTTGCTTTGCTGTGAATAAACTCACTTCACTTCCACAAAGCCAACGGTCACGCCATAATGCATGGTACAGTGCCAGGAAATTCCCATGAAAACAAAACAAAAAAATAGTCTGTTTGTGGCTCCAAGGCATTTTAACAGACTACACAGCAAACGTGGAAGGAGACAAAGCTTTTGCTCTGTAGCTTTCAAGTCAGCTGAAAGCATCTAGAAAGACCTGACTTAGCTGCCATATGGGAGATGGGCTTATTAATTCCTTGCTGGGCAGGCCCACTTCCCAGGCAGTATCTCCTGCGCAGTGATCTGTGCAAGTCCCAGACAATCCTCCAAAGAATATGTGAAACAGCAACTGTGACTGTAAGATCTGGAGTGCAGCTATGGGCACTAATGGCAGCCTAGCCAACTGATGACAATCAATGTGGTTTTGGCTCCTGCTGCAGTCTTGTGATGACATGAAATGTTCCAGAACTGAGGGGCTATTTTTAGCAAAAAAAAAAGCAACATAAAAGGGAGCAAGGGAGAAGAGCTGAGGATTTTCCTGGGCATGGCTTTGTCACTTACAAAGTTCTGCTAACCCACAGCACCTCTCTCACACAGTACTTGCAATGCTTTTGCAGTAAACTGGTAACTTAGGAGCTAGCAGTGTTTCACAGAGGTAAGGAGGAGAGTCGCTGCCATTCAATCAGTGCGCGTATTAGGTGAATGAAAAATTCACCCAACAGATGAGACACCAGGCTGGGGCCAGCTTAACAGAATTAAGTTGCGATGCAACACCTTCATCTTTACAAGTTATGTGGGCAACGGGTGTGTAACAGGCAGCTCTTCAGGAATCCATAGTTGCACTCCGGATCCTTGCTCCATGGGTTACAGGCCCTCTTCTCATCATCTCCCTCCTACCCAGTCTGTTCCAGCCAAATTTCTAGGGTTGTTCAGCAAGCACATTCAATTCCTTACTGAACATGTATAGATTGATGTTTTTGAAGGCTATGCTGTGCTTGTTTTTCATGTGAACAGAGAACACCATGTCCCTAACAGCCTGGAAATGTCAGTCCAGATTTCAAGTCCCTGGTTGAAAAGCACAAATAAGTTTATAGCCAAACTCAATTCTTTAGAAAATACGACTCAGGTCACCAAAATCAAAGGGTTGTATCGGTTCTGGTCAGATTGAAGAGCCATAGTGCTCTGGCTTGGCTAGGCTGAGCTACTCATTCACCAACTTTGCTTGCCCAGGCACAAGCAAACGTTGCAGGACTGCTCTCCCCTCCCACCCCAGTGACACCTGCCCTGTGCTCCTGCAGCCCCATATCCTCTTGTCCCACCCCCAGCTGCTAACCCTGTAGTCAGCACAACTCCCATTGTATTGACTCTGAAAGTTGTCTGTTAATTAATTACAAAACCATTCCTTCCCCTTTTCCCTTGCCTCCCACATTTGGCCTTGCTCTTTGATGGGGCTTTTTCTACTTCTTTTTCTAAAAGTTTATCTTGCCATACAGCTTCCCCCATGGCTTGCACGTCTCCTTTGAAGCACTCTCTGCTATTTGCAGTTCTCTTGTCTGTGACTGTCTACACAGGGCTGCCAAGGAGTAGAGGTGTTTCTCTTAATGGAAATTTTTCACAGAATCTGAGAACATGTCCTCATGTTTTGTCACGAAAGTGCACCTCACTACAGATGCGATGGCATACCGAGGGCCCACCCCATTCTCCCACCTCACAGCACCTTTACAGTGCCCAAAACTTGTGTGGAAAAAAAAAAAAAAAAAAATTAGGAGTGCAGCTGTTTCGGCTGCCTATCACGACAGCGATACTTCAGCCACCAGCACGCCATCCAACTGGTTTTCGCGATCCCCCACCCAATTTTCGCATCTGGCCGTGGCCCTGCAGACCGAGTTAAGCCACTGCCAGTTTAACTGGAAACCTCCCAGTACCTGAGAAGCTTGCACGGAGGCGGAAGAAGGACAGTGACACCTCGCGGTTAAACTCCCTCACTACCTCAGCCCGGGAGGAGCCCCGCAGCACGACCAAGCGCGAATCCATTCGCGGCTAAGGCAATTGTTCCCCGCTAAGCACCTCAGCCGCCTCAAACCCCCGCTCAGGACTCAGCTCTACCCTGGCAGGGACGCCCGCCGGAGGGGCAGCCGCCCGCCGCCCTGCGCATGCGCGGCGCTCTCCCCGCCCCCCCCCCCCGCCCGCCCGCGCGTTACCCTGGAGACGGTATAGCCGCGGCGCGGGCGGCCGTTGCAGCTCCCGGGCCGAGCCACCGTCGCCGCCGCGGTCCGGACCCCGGCCCCGCCATGCTGCCCGCCCGCCCGCCGGAGGCGGCGGCGGCCCCCGCCGTCCCCTACAGCTACCGCAGCCGGCCCCGCGCCCTGCCCGCCCGCCCGAAGCACCGAGAGCTGCTGGCCGCCGCCGAGCCGTGAGTGCCGGTGACCGGCGGACCCCGCTGCCCGCCCCTGCCCCCTCGCCCCAGCCCCCTCGCCGCCCTTCCCCGGGCGAGGGGAGCGCTCGCCGCCCTGCCGGCAGGTCCTTCTTCCCGGAACGTGGCGGGGAACTTGCGGGCTCTGGCCGCCCGAATTGCTTCTGGCCTGCTGGGGGTGGTAGCGTAGAGGTTGCGGCTCTGTAACCCCAACTGCCCGCGCTTGATGTTGCAGGGAGAAGCAACCTGTTCCTTACGCCAACCTCATGTATGACAGGAGAGTGGTGCGCGGCAACACTTACGCCCTTCAAGTCATACCTGTGGTATGTTTTTTTTATGTGGACCGGGCTACGGCTTTGTTGAAAAGTAATAGGTAGGGCACAAAGGCTGTTCCTCGTTAATAACTGTTACTGAAGTTGTAATTTTATTTCAGATATGGCGCACAGGCAGTCGCAGGCTCTCCAGTTAAACTAGCACCTGACTGTTTTCAGCTTTTCTTTAAAGCACTTAGTTTCACATGAACTTCTGTAGTTCTGATATTTTCTCCATTATTTGATTATTCCCCCCCGTCCCCCACTTCTTTAGCATCAGCGATCCTGAGCACAAGTCATCACAGCGTAATCTGTTATATGCAAGGTGTCACCAGAGAGAATAGCAGCTCTCGGGAAATTAAGTCTTGGGATAGAGTTTGGCTTATCCTACTACAGAAGCAGAACGAAATAGTCCACCTGTATGCAAAAGCTGCTTGTGTGGAGGCAAAAGTATTTTATTTATCTTGATACAGTAGTAAATGTTTCAGTGATACTTTATTTTCAGAGACTACTTCTACGTAGATAATTTGATCATATAAGAATTTAAAGCAGTCTATTTTTAAATGCCATTTTTGCAGAAATAACTTTGTGTTGTTCAGTAGGTATTTCGTAGAGTGAATTTCCCATGTGTTCTGTTTAAGAAAGTTTGAAACTGATGTTCATTTCAATCCAAAAACAGAGTCCTGAATTTAAAAGTTAGCATGGGTTTCTTTTACTTCAGCAGCAGTACAGAACCTATAATTTTTGTCTAGCAAACAATTATGTTGATAATATGATAACTGGTCTTAAGTCCATCTGACCTTCTTAAAGCTTTAGCTAGAAACTCTCACTTGTCAGGAAGAACATACCATTTTAATATCCTTTATCTCACAAAGTAAAGTTCTGTATACCCTATCCACTTCTAAATATTTGCTGTTTGTGTGAGAGGCCATTAGTATGTACCTGTGGGCAGCTAGCATAACTTTAATTAGTTTGATGCCATACAGTCTTTAAGGTAACTGAAAATGTAGGGTCAGGACCCAGATTTGTAACATTAAAATCAAACCACCTTCATTTTCCTGTAGAGAGAAATTAGTATAGTTTTCAAGTACAGAGTATATTCTGTTTCGTGGAGATTTTTTTCTTCTTCACCCCTGCTCAGAGTACCCAACCCAGTCCCTTTGAGATTCAAAGGCAGAGGGAAGCATGGAAAAGAGCACTGGCTAGAAAGCGTGCAAAGGAACAAATGCAACCAGGAACACCTGAGCCTGTGGAAGGCAGAGAGCACATTCATGTGCAGACAGGTAAAAGGCTGAATTTTTGAAAATTCTTCTGAAAACAAAAACTTCCTGATTTATATTCACTTACTGAATTGATGATGCAGTTGGTAGAATCGCTTAGGGTTAAGGTTAGAATCATAGAATTCTAGAACCAGAGGTTCTCTAATCCTTTCCATTATAGCATCTTATTTCTTATTTTTGGTAGTATTTAATAAACTTGGCTAATTAATAACATTTTTCCAGAGACTCTGTTTTTCAGTTTTCCATTTACATTCTTGAACATTAGTCAAGACTTCTTGATTTGTTCTTTCCTTTTTCAGTATCATCAGAGAAGCTTGGTATATGCTTAAAATTTAGGAGTTTTAAAAAATTTTGCTTAAGAGTACAGTCACATGTAAGAATAAGGCTACTATTAAAAGTTGGGGGACACACTCCAGTTTAGAATAGAAAACTGCCCTATTTGTGAGAAAACAATTTTATTTGTAGGAAACCAAAATATATCACTGAGATAATCATGATGTGTGTGTAATATATTGCTGTGCCCTCTGAAAATCATTTCAGATTGGACTTACAAACTGGGAAAACATCTGTGTTACATGCTAACCAGACGTGGTCTTTGGTTTCTGAACGTTCCCTCTGCCACAGCCCCGCTGAACCTCTTACACCACCTCCAATGCACACAGCAGCTTTTCACCATTCAAATTCCGTTGGATGCAGAAGAAGGCTATCTAGTGTGGAAGTCTTGGTCTCATACCCTTCCTACTGACCACAGCAAATAATTTTAAGTACTCCACAGACCTTATTTTCTGATCCAGGCTATTTATCTCTGTAGTAGGAGACAGACAGTTATAATCCAAATCAAGCACATGCTGTTATAGATGTGTGGTTACCTCAAGGCCACTACTGGTGGGGCCAGAATTAGAATATAATTCTTTAACAGATCCAGCGTTCTATTTTGCTGCACACAATGGAGAAACATATATGTTTTTGATGTTACTTGTTAGTAGATAGGCAATCATCCCTTTTTGAAATGGTCTTATTGTGTTGACTCTACTAAGAATTGTTTACTCTGCAGGTTGGGGTGAAATGGTCTAGGCTCTGACTTTTGAAACCTGCTAAGTGAAATGCCCTTTTAGGAATCATTTCCAAGAAGTGCACCTGACATTACAGAGAACGTGTCATCCAATGGCCTGTGCAGCAGACTGATCTATGTTTTTAAACTGAGGTGTCTTTTTCTTTTTTTTTAATTTAACTTTGTAGAATATATTTTATTGCACTCTTTGGATATAGCTCATGCTGTAGAGTCATCAAAAGTAGTTGAGAGCTAAAAGAATCAAACTTCCAGCATTCATTGTACTTTTTGTTTCTAGAACTGTATTTGGAAGAGATTAGTGACCGGATAATAGAAGTTGATACAGAGTGTCAAACAGATGCATTTTTGGACAGACCACCCACTCCATTCTTCATACCGGCCAAAACGGGAAAAGATGTGGCCACGCAAATAGAAGAAGGAGAGGTATGAAACTAAGTCAGGTCCCCAAGAGCTGTCAAAATAGGTCTACTGTATGAAACAAGTTTCTGATGCAAAACCAGAAAGGAACTGATCCTCACAGAAAGTAATAAGCCAAAACTGTCTCCTCTGTACGCTGTGAGGTTAAGTGCAAAATTAAGGAATGTGCGTCTCCACGTGCACTGGTTCTGCTGCTTTCAGCTAAGAACTACGGTGTTGAGAAATGCTTTTCCCCCTAGAAGGTGTCCAGCCCAAGAAGGGGTTGGGAACACAGAAATAGGGTCCAGGTGAGTGTTCTGCTTCTCCGGGGCAGCCCCCACGGTGGCTGTTGTAGGGTGTGTGGTGCCTCACCCCAGCCCACTCCTCACTTAGGCCCCAGCTGCATTCGTGCTTCTGCCTTAGCTGACACTGGCCCCCCACCTGCACTTCTCAGCCCTGCCTACAGCACAAGGGCTTGGTTTATCCTCATTTTCTCCTTGCCAAGGTGTTAAGAGTGATTGTGATCAAGGGACATTTATCTCTGTTTCCATGACTCTCACCCTCAGTTGTTTGACTTTGATGTTGAAGTCAAGCCGATCCTGGAAGTGTTGGTTGGGAAAACAGTTGAGCAAGCTTTGCTGGAAGTCATGGAGGAAGAAGAGCTGGCCCAGCTGTGGGCACATCAGCGTGCCTACGCAGAGCTGCGTAATGCAGAGCTTGCTGAAGTACAGCGCCTGGAAGAGCAGGACCGGCGATACAGAGAGGAGAAGGTAGGACTTCCTAAGAGCAGAACAGGCCTGTCTGAATGCTCATCAGAAGAGAGAAAAACATTTCCAATACTGAAAGACAAGCTCTGAAATAAGCTGGATGTGCCCGAAAGGGTACTGTCAGGTTTGGTATTCCTCAAAGCATTTTGGTGTCATACAGCTGCACTCTGCCACTTGCTCTCGTGCACCAGCACCATGCTGTTGTGTTTATTTGGAGCAGTTGTGCTCCAGTAACCTGGAGTACTCTGGCACCTGATCACAAGACCAAACCCAACACCATTTTCCTCTGTACCCAGTGCAGCTGGTACTCAAGCCTTTTCATTATAATAGCTGCTAAATGAATAGTCAGGGTGCTTGAAAGTAAGAGACACACCTCCTAGTCTTTCACACCCAATGCATACACTGCTGTATGTCACACATACCTCTCAAGATCTCCAAGTATTAAGCTGTACTAGTACTATCTAGTAAATAGGAATAAACAGAAAAGGCAAGTCTTAATTACTCACTATTCATCAGCCTTGTATAATTGGGGTTTTTAATGATTTCCTGGAACAACCTGAGTCTTAATCTTTTCTTACATCAAAGAGGATATCATATTGGAATGACGAAACATTCAGGAAATCCTGACCCAACTTCATCTCATTCCAAGGCCAATGATCAGCTTGATCTGCAATAGCAGAGAGTCATGAGATCAATGCACACTAAGGTATTAGAGAAGTGTTTCATTTGGCCAGCTTCAAGGCCCTTATTTTACAGACTTGCCAAAATCAGAAAGGGTATACCAAAGGAACGGGTTTCTCTCTAGTCCTTGTGGATTTTAGTACTCCACAGATTGAGTGCAAGCTTGCTTTCAAGCACTTTTTCATATGAGGAGTTTCTGTGAAAGTTAGAGGCTGCAAATATCAGGTAGACACTATAAATATCTGTACTTTTGATTATCTTTGTTACATATGACTCTCACAGTGTGATCATTCTTCAAAGTCTAGATCAAAGGAGTAACAGCTAAAGGCCTGAGAGTTTTACGTGAAATATTGCTTTGACAGGAACGTCGCAGACTCCAACACATGCAAATGCTGCAGAAACAGAAAGAGACCGCAGAGAAGATTGCAGCTCAGGCATTTGCTCAACGTTACGTGGCTGATCTCATTCCCTCGGTCTTCAATAATCTTCGTGAGGGTGGATTTTTTTATGACCTTATAGAAAGAGGTTTGTATTTATTATTTTTTCTAAATAGGTGAACTGAGTAATATAAAGGTCAAAACAACCACCATAAAAAATAGCTTATGGTCATATTATTTAGAATATTGTCGTAAGACTTTATTCATTTACATTTGTGTAAACGTGTACAAACTGTGTAAATACCTGTGAACAGATAGTTTCCAAACTTGTATTTTTAACACAAACAAACATTATTGGTCATCTGTACAAGTAGCCAAGAATGAGCAAGAGCTGACAGTGTGACAATAGGAAGAGCTGCTTTTGAATTGGAGAGAAATAAATGGGTGGTTAGTTTTGATAGAGCAGAGAGAGAGAGATACAAATTGAAGTAAATTCATTTTGATATGACAGGCAATGAAATCTGTATGTCATTTGGAATCTTTTTTAATTATTATTGGAGAAAAGGAGAAATCAGTCAGTTAGAACTAGGCCCTGAAAATAATTTTGGAGTTGTATATTGGTGACTTCCAAGCTTTTAGCATCGGCAACATTTCTTATGGACTGGCTACCTTGCTGTACCCCACCTCCCCAGGCCCCACACAAGTACACAAACCACAGCTTGGGAATAGTTACACTCTCTCCAGAATGAGTTATGGGGCAAGTGCAGAAACTGAGTGTATTTTGCAAACAGGGCAGGCTTTGGGACCACAGTGTAGAAAGAGCATGATGTGAGAAATACATGGATAAGCAAAAGCTCTTTAGTCAGAGGGAACAAACGCTTTCAGCAGAACAGAAGCCAGACATCTTTGGAAAGCAAGGCAGGAAATGTTATTCTCCTGACTTGTTCAGGATAGTTACTTTCATCTCGCTAGAACATTACTGTGTATCTCATCTGTGCTAGCCCTTCAAGGGTGCCAGACCATTTGAAAATCACTGCAGTTGGGAGGACTCTCGTCTGGGTCCATAAGAATGAGGAACCTCAGTAAGGGAGGTGGGAGATAAGAAACCCAACAACACCCGAGGGATTTCATCTGGCTCTTGCAAAGCAAGTGTCTTTTGGCAAGGATGTTCATTCCTTAATGGTCATAGCATATTAAAAACAGCACCAAGATATCCTGTTGCTCATCCTTAATAAACAGACATTTTTTATTTCTTTCTTCCTGCTAAATTCTTACAGATATTGACACAGAATTCCTTCCATGGCTGATGACAGAAGTGGAAGAAACACTAGAGAGGAAGGTTCTGGGGAGGACAGTGCTTGACTGTAAGTTACTAAATCTTGGAATGTAACCTGGGCTGCTTGATATTCTTAATTGTTTTTTCCCCAGTTAGAACAAATATCACATTTGCAGGGTCACTGTGGGTTAAGGTAGGAGTTGTCCTTTCAGCAAGAACTCCCAAGTATCCATGGCTTTTTGTGTTGTTTTATTGGTTTTGTTTTACTATATAAAAACATTTTTAATGTTGGAAAACTACTACTACATACATCTAGGTAATTGATTTTCAGCTGAAATAACAGAAGTGTGTTGTGGTTTAAACCCAGCTGGCAGCCCAACCAAATATTCCATTGGCCAGTTTTGGTCTGTTGCTTTGGTTGTGCTCCCTCCCAGCTTCTTGTATACCTGCGTGCTAGCAGGACATGGGAGGTTGAAAATCCCTGATTTCTTAGCAACAACTGAAAACATCAGTATGCTATCAACATTCTTCTCATATCAAATTCCATACTGAATCTGAAACACAGCACTGTTCTAGCTATTAAGAACAACAACAACAACAACAACAAATTAGCTCTATCCCAGCCAAAACCAGGACAGTATCCACCCCTTATTCCATACCATTTACATTATGCTCATGTTCCATGTTTTCCAATATTATTTTAATTAATCACCATCTTTTTTTCTGTTGTTTGACGTATACACTGTATCTGTTAGTCTATGGGCCATCCCTCCAAAATGTGTAGTGCATTCATTTAGTCCATAACTTTGGATTCCATCTTTCATGACAGTCTTTCAAGGCAAGAGGGATGAGGCAGAGTTTTCTCAGTCAGTGGAATGGGTGTCATTGGATACAGCAGGAGGATGGAGTGTAGTCTCTGTTGTCCGTGCGGTCCATGCTCACTGTCTGCAGGTTGAAGATGTAGATCTTGAGGAAGTTGCTGGTCACCAGTTGCTGAAACTAGTCGACTTCATCGAAGTTCCTTTTTCATTAACATGGGTGATTCTTAATATGATGCTGTTAGTATATGTATCAACCACAGCGATAATGATATGCAATGATGGGGTTATTTAGCAATTACCATCATACAATTAAATTCATCAGCTATTTTCAGGGATAGGGATTGGGTGATTAACTCTGGTTCTGACCCTTCCTTCTGTTCTCATGATGGCCCTGGTCCCTTGTCATCCCTTACAATGCAAAGTGATTTTTTTTTTTTTTTTTTTTATATTTCTTCTTATGTATAGGAGCAACTGATATGGTCACAGGTTGGTTCTCTGGTTAAGCTGCAGTGCCTGTCACTGAGGTAGGAGTGGCTGCAGTGCCTGTCACTTTGTTGTCAGGTCCAGAGACCCTCTCTTCCCCTTGAGGGTACTGAATAGTGTTGAACAGGGCTTGGTAGCATGAGCAAGGCCCCAGCATATTGCAGTGATTTGTGTCTCCCTGGAATTGTCAGGGCGACTTTTTCTAAATGTTCTACTAGTTTTTCAGGACTCTGCACTTGTTCAAGGGTAAAATTCCAAAACAGAGGAGACACTCATGATCCTAGGCATTTGCCTATGCTATCCCACACACCCTGTCACTCATAACTCTCCAGCCTTGGGGTAGATCTCTGGGTGATACTCTTAAATAGTTGCTTAAGCCTGAATAAAACCTGAACCACATACAGGGATGTTTTGGCTCCTAGCAATAGGACCATATTAGTTTCAACATTTCAAGGATATGCAAAATTTTCAGAATTCTCAAGCGCTGTTGTAATTAGCCTGGAGAGGAAGGGAAGAGTGAAGGGAGGTGTCTCCCCCATGGATTGGCTCTCCGAGAACAGGTAAAGGGTGTAATTGTTAACACTTTCTGCTGGACGGCTCCTGAAGTACAGAGGTGACAACAGTACTCGGTACAGATACCAGACTCATCCCATCACCGATAACTTTATCATGCCATGAACCAGTGATACATAGTACAGCAAAGTGAAAATCCCATGGGTGATAAGCATCATCATAGGGACTAATACAGCAAGTAACATCAGTACATTATCAGCATTCTTCTCATATCAAATCCCATGCTGAATCTGAAACAGCATTATTCTAGCTACGATGAAGAAAAAAAAAATAGCTCTATCCTAGACGAAGCCAGGACAAAGTGTCAGTCATGCTGCAATACCCTCTCTCTGTTGGCTTTATACTGTTTGAGATGTATTGATGCTGGGAGATGCAATACATTTGGCAGGAGCTGAATGGTTGAAGAACACCAAGTCTTTTATTTGCTATAAAACTTCTATTCTTCATGTGTTACATGGGCACCATTGCTGTGCTGTTCTTTGTATTGTGCCTGATTGTGCCAGGGGGAACATAAAAGCCCATCTTGCCTACAGCCACGTGTATACCGTGAAAGTCTCTTAACTCGTTTGTGTAAGTTCCCTGATCTATGGGTAATATGTTCATCCTACATGAAAGAAGAGGATACTCATAGGCTGTGACTGACTGAGAAGTCAGGTGACCAAAACTTTTCATCAAAACAAGGGCTTATCTCCTCAACAGTCAATAATCATGTCCTTGCTTTTGAAATAAATTAAAACATCAGCTGTCTTTTGGGCTAGTTCAAGCTAAGTATTCAGGTTCTTTTATTAGTCAGCTTTCAGAGGCTGTAGTTGAAACAAACACCTGAACAATCTAAACTCTGTCTTTTGTAGAAGCACAAAATTATGGTGAATGTGCGTCTACCATGGTGCTCCTACATCAAACCACTTTTTACACTTAATTTACATCTTTCATTCCTATGGTTTTCCTCCTGCTGTTTTTGAGTTTGAATTACAATTGTGTTTGTTTCCTTTGGGTTAATTTTAGGTTTAACCAGGATCCTTTGTTAGGGTATAATTTGGATAATTGCAGCTGGTCTGTTAGGTATTTTATCCTATGATGTACATGCTGGTATGTGCACTCAAGGATCACTTGTTATTGTAGCTCTTCAGGACAGAGGGAATTTTCTCTTCTTTTAAGAAGGAAGTGTTGTGTGTGACTACTGAATAAACATCCCAAGGAGAATACTGCTGCAGGATACACTATTGATGAGAACATCTGTCATACTCCTATTAAATCTTTCTGTTTAATTTTTTAACCAGATATCATGGCACAAGTTCTAAGATACATGGGGCACCTGGAACAGGCCAATAAGCAATATCAGTAGCCCCTGTTTTGCTATTTACCCTCTGTATTTCCTGGCTTTCCAGCCACCCACTGTTGACTAAACATCATCTCTGCAAAAGGATCTGCAAATTGCATTCTTCAAGTTTTGTAGAGGCAGACACAGCCTCAGCTAAGATAGTTTGTGGCTTCTTTCCCTTTTTATGCAGAATCACAGGAAAAGTCTCTAAGGATCAATTTTTAACCTATTTGAATGGAGGCACTACTTAGGATTTATTTTGTGACTATCCAATAGAAGAGCTGTGAACTACAAAGGGATTACCATCAGTGTAAGGAAGCTATGTTTGTTCTCTCAGAGATGATAATTTCTTCTTCTTCTTGATAAAGTCAATCCATGAATTAACAATTAAGTTCTTTTTAGTACCTGTACGTTGTGCTGTTTTCTGTGTTAAACCTCTCCTCCTTTCATTGTTGGGCTTTATTTTTTGTATTTAAATTATATCAAAATGAATGTTGATTTTTTTTTTTTTGTTGTTGTTGTTGTGTCCATTGGAAGGGGTATAATGTTTAGAAAAATTTACAAAGACTAAGCAGCAAAAATAACAAAGAATAGGTGCTTTACTGCTGCTTTTCAGAAAGCGATGACTCCCATAGTTCCAGTATTTTCCACTGTCAGAAACATCACACAGCATGCAACCTAGCTAGTCCTTGTTCCTGGTGGGGTGATCTGCTACCAGAAGTGAGGAACAACTGTGAGAAAATGAACAAAACAATCCAGGTGAACCCTTTAAAATCATTGCTTTCAGTGTAAACTGCTCCTTTGTCTGGAACTGGGTTACAGCTGCAGGGATGTTTTTTTCTCATTCAAGTAATCTTTCATTTCTAGTGTTATTTCAGAGGGTTTTCCCTGTTTAAGAAGTTATAGACCAGTAACATATAAAATAATCTCAAATTATAGGGTTTTTTCCTCTATGTTTGTTAATGGTAGCTTTCTGTGTTTCAGCCTTGATTTGTACAGTGGTTGAAAACCGCTTAGATGCATTTAGCCGTAAACCTCTGTCTGATCAGACAGAGGCACCTGCTGAAGAGCCCAGGCCAACAGATGCAGCCCCCCAGGAGGCCGGTGAGACAGATGCTGCTGGCCAACCGGTTGCAGAGGAAGAGGAGACTGACCAACCTGTTGCCGAGGAACAGCCTTCATGTCACCTCTCCTTCCAGTTAGAAGAATCGGATCAAGCAGGAAGGGAGGATTTGGAAACTGTGTAACAAGCAGGCAAGTCATCAAGTAAACAGAGATGAATGGCTTAGAGTAAATTAATTCCTACCTATTTACAAGTATTGTGCCCTAGCCATGCAGAAGGATGAACCTAAGCAACACCAGAACATTGAAGCGTGTTTTCCATACGCTGACATTGCTGATTTCAGGCTGTAAGAATCAAGAGAGAGGTTACTAGCTGTTGTGGTTTGAGCCCAGAGGGCAACTGAGCACCGCGCAGCTGCTTGCTCACTCCTTCCTCAGGAATGGGAAGGAATAAATAAGGCAAAAGGCTGAATCTAGAACTGAGTGTCTGGAGTCACATAGTGCAAATTGTAGACAGACACATCCATGGATGCTTTTTAGAACTGGAATATTCCCCTGTAAATTCCTCCTTTGTTTGCTAAATTGACTATTTCAATGAACTCTGCATGTTTTTTCATTTATGATTGATACCTCAAAGCATCCAGCAAAATGTGTGACGTGTATGAAATAAAGGTAGTCAGTGCTCACTACATCTGTCTATAAGTTTCTAAGAAGAATTTATTTTTATGCATGACTGAAGTTGAAGGCTTGAAATCAAACTCTGGTTTAGGGGTTGAAGTCAGGGGAAGGTTTACCTCAATTTCAGTAGGACCAAGATTTTTGCATTGTTTTTTTTCCCATGATGATTGAGACTCCTGTCACGTCTTCAGATAAATAACTGACCTCAGGCTAATTTTATCTAGAGAAATAAAAAGGCTTTGTGACATGATTCATGAGAATGTAAGTTTTTTCAGCTCATTTTTGGAACACTTGTCAGTTTTAAAGATTCGTCATTACTGAATGATAGTTTTGTCATGTATTTACAGGAGACTTAGCATAACCTAGAGGGCTGCCATGGATCATTCCTGAAAAGATTCAAAGAAATGCTGACTTGAATATTTGCTTTTGGAATGTTACAAGAGAAAGGTGATAACTGGAATATTTTTGGTTTTGTTACTCCTGATTTGTGTTTGATTGCTAGAAAATTTACTTGAAGTCTTGAATTATTCTATTTAAATAGGTTGTAGCATTATTATGTATTCTTAAATTATTATGATAAAATAATTAACTGTATGCCCTGCATTTTTACTTCATTAGAATGTATAGCTACAACTTGAGCATTGTGTGTTGTGGTAGAGTTTGCTGTAACACGTTATGTTTTTATGGGGCCGTACAGCCACAAAGCTTTATATTGCACTGGCAGTTTGCCATTAATAGCCCTGTGCTTGAATTCAGCCCCAGAGCTGGGCAGGTTGGCAGGGGAAGGGACCCCTCACATCCTGTTGGTCATTGGAGAAGTGGAAAACCACAAGCAACTGTAAGGAGGGGAAGAGGGATTTGGGGTAATACTGGTGTAGCTGTCACCTGTTTGGGGTGATGCAGGCAGACACGTGGGCTGTTGCAGCACAGGCCTTGCTGCTGGCCCGGTGGCTTGGGGGCTGGCATGCAGGTGGCCAGGGGAACCACTCCAGCTGAGCCCAGGTGCGAGCACTCCATCCCTCACACCACCTCCCCAAGGGGACCCCTCCTGACGCCCTTCCCCTCCAAGTCCCCTTTCTCTGGCCAGTGTCCTCAGCAGCAGCTGTCCCTGTGTTTTAGTTTGGGCTGAAATAGAGTTAATATTCCTTTTCAGGGACTAGATGAGTGCTGTGTTTTGGATTTAGCTTTGGGTTTGGTATGAGAAGAATGCTGATAGCACACTGGTGTTTTCAGCTGCTACCGAGACTTTAAGGACTCTCCGACTCTCCATGTCCTGCCCGTGTGCCAGGGCACAGGGAGCAGGGAGGGAGCACGGCCAGAGCACCAGACCCAAATTGGCCAGTGAAATATTCCATATCATGGAACGTCATGCTCACTATATAGAGGAGGGGTGGTTGGGAAGGAGCTCTCTCTCTCTCTCTCGCTTCCGGGATTGCGATTGTGGGATCTTGGTATCTCGGGGTCGCTGGCCGGGAACAGGCTGGATATTGGTCAGCGGGTGGTGAGCAATTACGCTGTACATTGCCTGTTTATATATTTCTTTTTGTTTTCCCCCCATCATCGTTATTGTTTTCATTTTATTGCCATTATTAAACTGTTCTTATCTCAGCCTGCGAGTCTCCCTTCACCCCTCTGATCCCCTCCCCCATTCCCAGGTGGGGAGGGGGAAGGGAGGGTGATTAGCTGCGGGGGTTGGTTGCTGATCAGGCCCAATCCACAACACCCTGGCAGGCAGGTATGGCTGCAGGGTGGCCAGCTCTGCACCCACAGTGACATGGGGCTCTGCAGCTCCTGGGTGTGCGTGTGGGTGCACGAAGGAGTGGAGAGGGAACGAGTGAGACAGCGCTGTAGGCACTAGAGGGCAGGCCAGGCCACAGCGATCCCACCACAGACATGTAGATAGACGTTGATGCCACCTATTGCACATTGCACATCCTGCACTAGTGACACCTGTCTGGAATTCCTTCTGCTGCTAAACCTCGAAGGCATCGACCTTTTGCAAAATCTTCTCATATGTATAACATGTGGAGTCAACACTTAGGGTCAGCCAACACAGTCGACACTAAGATCATAGAACCACAGAATGGTTTGGGTTGTAAGGAACCTTTAAAGATCATCTAGTCTAACAATCTCCCATGCGCCCCACCCCCCTACCCCCCCAGGCAGGAACACCTTCCCCCAGCCCAGGCTGCTCCCAGCCCCGTCCAACCTGGCCTTGAACACTTCCAGGGAGGGGGCAGCCACAGCTGCTCTGGGCATTGTGGGTTTCAGGGTTTTCTAACTGCAGCTGCTGAGTTTTCCACGCCATGTCTCAGCCCTGGGCTGAACCATTTCAGAAAGTTCAGCAGAGTTGTTTCAGCCTGTCCTTTGAAGGAAAAATATATTTCCTTGCCTATATTCAACTATCTTTTCAGATGATAAGCAACTTGATAAGCAACTGTGAGCTGGACCCAGGATGCAGGCTTCTGGGTGATTTCTCGCAGAACCATTGGAAAACAGACACAAAGTTCATTTTGACACTGAACTGTGTCCAAAGGACCGCTTGTAACACGGAGGCATTGAGCTGGTACCTCTTCTAGTCATGCCCAGGTTGTGTACCTGTCAGTAAAAGCCTGAAACGGTAGCATGTGTGCACAGTGAAGCTTCTTATCTTTGTGTGTTTTATCAAAAACAGCTGGTTACAAGATGAGTGTATCCATGTGGTTTCCATCTATTGATTTATCTGCAAAGAGCCAAAGCATTACTTCAACAACCAACTCAGCAGTTTAGCTCCATGTTTACTTCAACACCTGCTTGAAAGTGGGAAACATTGAGGCTTCCTGCCTGGCCTTGATTCAGTTTGGGAATCCTCTTGGTATATGAAGGACCAAACTGAACTCTCCACGTTTCTCCATTGCACACTGACAGACTGGGAGCATTCTGGTGAGAGTAGAATTTATGGCTGGTTTTCTGCTGGCAGAAATCACAGGTTTCAAAGAGCTACAGAGAGAACAAATAAAAAGAATATACCTATGAAAGTGTTTACTTGCTTGCTGATACATGTGTTAAACACGAACCTCACATTATCCATCTTTAATGGCTACAGCCTTGGGAGCCCGCAGGAGCTGTATTACTTTCACAGCAGCAGTGTACAGCAATACAGCAACAGCCCTGTGGTGTTCACAAAACCATGAAGATTCCTGTCTGGCCCCCCTGCAGGGTATGCCTTTAGACCAGTACAACAGTATCTATCATAGTGAAACAGTGAAACTATTTCAGTGTGGTTTCTGATTCCCAGGGTTTCTTTACTGGTACAACCCAGAAGCTAGACATGGCCTAGAGTAAGTTTCAGTGGTCTAGCTGCGATGCTGTTTTATTGCACTGTAGTTATTGCACTTTATTGTCACTGTAGTTATAAACTGCCTTATGTTGCCTCATTCCTCCTCAGCCCCACCACAAACATTTGGTGCTCTCAGGCTGCCCAGGTTATTAACCTATGATAATATTAGCATACATATTGTCACTGGCAGTTAATAAAGTTGACAGTGAACTGTAGCAGCTGTGATAATGTCAAATCCCATGCTGCTGACTGCCATGGGGTTTGTGATCTCTGGCAAAAAGTCTGGCTGAGAGGCTGGTGCAATAATGCTTGAACCTGTCCCAAAAAGATTACTTTTCTCTATCAGAGTCCAAGCTGGATATTGCAGTCACTGCTGAGACAACATATACTGTTAAAAATGACCTAACAGTGGAATCTGACTTAACAGGGATCGTGATTCAATCATGCTTTGGTGATTGAAATTATATCTACTTTAAACACAGCTTATTTTAATGATGATTCTGTTGGAAAGTGCTCATCTGTATGATGGGTTACAGAGTACACCTAAAAGATCATTTAATAGGCAAATACCATCAGACCAACCATTACCATGTTACTTAATGGTAATTAATCAAATACATTTGTTTCAAGCAGGGTTGACATAACAGTCATGTTCTCTACAGCTCCCAAAACCACAACACGCTGAATCACAGGATCAGTGGAAAGCCTAGCTAGGTCAGAAGGGATCTCTGTGTCCCAGGTCAGCTGGTCCAACCTTTTCTAAAAGCAGGGCCCTAGATTAGGCTGGGCTTTGGCTGACTAGGGCACAGTGTTTCTGAAATGGGTTTGGGGGGCCTGGTGGTCTGGAATCTGAGCAGCTAGGCAGCATTGCCCCTTGCAGCCACGAAGGCAAACTGTGCCCCAGGTTGTGTCAGTAAGAGCATAACCAACAGATCAAGGAGTGCCATTATTCCACTCTATTTGGCAATTGATGGTCCACACCTGGAGGACTGAGGCCAGCTGTGGCCTTCCCCAGTTCAAAAGAGGCTCTGAAAGATTGGGGAGGGTTCTGTGGAGGGCCGCAGGGATGGTTAAATGTGGAGAACTTGCCATAGTAAGCAAGACTGCATCAACTGGGTGTGCTCAACCTGGAGAAGAGAAAGCTCAGCTGGATCCAATCATGGTTTTCCAGCTCTGAAATGGTGGTTATGGGGAAAGGTGGAAGCATCTCCATAAGGATGAGCTGTGCCAGGACAAGAAGCAGCAGCCACAGGTGGGTTCAGGGCAAGTGCCTGCTCCCTTCTGTGCCCCTCGGCCTGCCGGTGTGCAAATCTGCAACCAACCCCCCCCAAGACAATGAACCAAAACCGGCACGTGTGCAGGAAGCTCTCAGCGCTGTGAGGTGCCTTCCTTGGAAGTAATGAACCAGTGCAGGGGAGGCGGGGGGGTGGGGTGTGTGTGTTGTGTGGATCCTTACAAGCACGGACGACAACGTGCGGCCACAGCAGCGGCAGTGTCGGCGGTCGGAACGCCGCGGGCCGGGACACTCGGACTTCGTTTTTAACAAGCGTCCCGGTAACAGAGCCAGCCCAGCCCTCGGGCACCGGCGGCGGAGCTGCCCGGCCCGGCACCGCTCCCCGCCGGGCGGCCGCCGCTCCGGAGCGGCGGGGCGGGGAGGGGACGGGACGCGGCCGGGCCGCCCGCCCGCCCCTCGGCTCGGCCCGGCCCTCCTCCGTCCCGCCCGCCCGCCCGCCGCCAGGCGTCTCCCCGGGGCCGGGCACCGCCGCGGGGACGGGAGGAGCCGCCGCCGCTGAGCTCCCCGGCCCGGCTCTGGGGGAGCGGGCGGCGCCTGCGGAGCTGGGCCATGAGGTGAGGTGAGGGGCGGGGGACCGCGGCGGGGGCAGCAGGTGAGCGGGGGCTGCGTGCGGGGCCGGGCCGGGCCGGGCCGGGCCGCTCCGGGGAGCGGGGGCGGCGGGGCTCTGAGGGGCGGGCGGCAGCGCCCAGCACCGGGGCTGGCGGGCCGCCTGCCGCCGCCGCCGCCGCAGGAAAGCGAATTGCGCCACATGTGCCCGCCTTCAGGAGGAGACTTTGCTGTTTCTTTCTTTATTTACTTCGCCCCCTCAACTTTCCCCGAGCCCCAGCCACTGCGCCGGCTCTCCCCGCTCGTCCCGCCGCAGCGCCTCGCACCAGAGCCCCAGGGCGGGCTAACGCCCTCGGGCCCGCAGCAGCCCCGCTCGCCTCCGGGAACAAAAAGGCCTCAGCACCGGGGATTAACGGGAAACACACACGCAAACATCTCCTCGTGTTTCCTTCGCGCCTCTCTCCAGCCCCGCGGGGCTCGCACGGCAGAGTGTGGGGCAGCAGACGGGTGGCATCCCTCCTACGGCGGGAAACTCGGGTGGAGGGCCGGGAGGTTTGGTCCCGCGTGAGGAAACATCGGTGGGCCCAAGCGTGTGCCCGCCGCTCGCGAACGGGTCTCCACGCCTGCCCCAGGATCCTGGCCCACACAAGCGGCCGCAGCACGGTTTACGTCAATTTTTCATCCCTCTTCAGCAGGGTGACAGCTGGATGTGGTCAAGTCTTGAGCTGTCAATGACTCCTATGGGAGACATGACTTTGTTTTCCTTTGGGGAAGGTGGATTTACCACATTGTGTGATTTATTTTTTCTTAAAGTACATAACCCTATTAAAAATTTCACTTTCAGTTGCTTTTTATTTCCCCATTAAAATCCTGTGTCCCATAGCTCAGTGACAGTTCATTTTTGTAGAAAGGTGAACTCAGGACAGCCAAACTTTTCTCTGAGGGCTGTTGCTTTCCCTGTGTGACTTGAGCATAACAAGTATGTCCTTCCTTGCAAAGGAGGGCCAGTAAGGCTAACTGCTTTGTAGAAGATACTTAAAGGAGTTGATGAAGAGCACAAAATAGTAGATGTTTTTAAAATGTGAGTTTAAATGTAATCTTTCCACCTCATCTGATATTTTTAATTTAGAAAGGACTGTATAGGTCAGAATCCAAGCTATGTTTTTGGGTATGTGATATATCAGTATAGATATTCATGTGTGGCCACTTTGTCCAACATATAGAATTATTCATATCACCTTGATGATGAGGGTTTTCTTGAATAAATACAAATGGTATATACATTCTCTTTCCAAGAAGTGGTAGGACTGGGTGTGCTTGTCATTATTGCGAGAAGATTAGCAAATCTGTCTCTGACAGAACGAGGAAGGAAGAGGTTCCCAAATCTGAGCACTTGCATCTCTCGGTATTGCAGTTGTAAAATTAACATCAGCGTGTGCGACCTGATTCTTGGTTGTTCCAATGCTTAGCAGAAAATCTGGCTATTTAAGTCTGAGATACCTAGTCACGTGCGGCGGCACAAAGTGTCAAGCAGTCCTGTGCTGACTTGGCAACTTCTCCTGCAAGACAACAGCATCTCTTTTTCTTGTGAGGTCTGCAAGTACTCCACTGACCCTGCACATGCAGCACCTCTGTTGTGCTCTGACCCTTCGCTGGGGAAAAATGAAGGTGCTGTCCTTGGGAATTTCCCTTCACCTGCCCTTCTTGTCCCTGTTGTTGGGTTGGAGAAGCAACACGCAGAGCACCGCTCTGCCTAGGGGCTGTGTAGGGCAGGTGGCTCTGGGTGGAACACAGGTAGTTCTGCTAAACAGAAGTACAGGTACAGTGACAGGATCAGTGACAAATTGTGTGGTTATTATTTGATATTGTGTATGTTTTCTGCAGTGGTACCACTGCATGTGCAGTATGTTTTCCACCATTAGTGTGCACTTACTTGCCCTGAGTGGTAAGTCAAACCTAACAGGAGCTGGTACAGATCCTGGAGTAGTATAACTGTGTAACAGGCCAATTGCCACCACATTTTGACTTGCCGAGTGCTCTCAAGGTGTATGTCTGACATTTAAACAGGACCTGATTGTTCTGATCATGCAGATGCTGCAAGTTGATAATAGGATTATTTGTGTAAGAAGTAGAAGATAAGAAGATGGGATGAGCAGGTTTCTCTGGACCTGCGCATCAGAGTGAGAACAGTAGTGGGAAGTTTGGAGAGTTTGACACAAGAAAGCACATAAACACAACAAAATAAATAAGTATTTCTTAAAGGCAGAAGTGGCCATTAAGTCATGTAGTTCTCCAAGTTTAACAACGTTGAAGCATTAGATTGGCATCTTCAAGTATATTTAAAATTGCTCAGTTTTCAAGATAAAAATGAAGTCTTAAACCATTTTGAGTGCATTGCTTGTAGGTAGGCTTTCTTTTAACTTGGATCCTTGTTTTGCATTCATTTTGCAGACACGTAAGCCATCAGGTCACTGATTCATGCTCTCTAACTAAGACAGTGACTTCTATTTCCTTTCAATTCTGTTCTGCAGCAAGAATATCGTTGTGCAGCTCTGTGAGCACATGCGTTTCTTCTCTCTCTGCCTGCCCTTCTGCCTGGACTCAGTGGAAAGGAAGCAGTGTGAGATAATTTCCCCCACCCCATCATGGCTGTTGAGACATTTATTCTACAATATGTTGCAGGGGCTGGGACCTGAGCCACTGCCCCTTTCCCTCAAGCTCCTAACTTCTTGGCTGATGATTGAAAAACAAAAGCATCAACCCTCGCCCTGCCCACAAGTGAATATATACACTGTACTTAAGATAGTCTGTGCTGGTGGTTAATACAAGTTTCATGTGTTTGATATAAGTTTTCATGTGTTTTCATGTTTTCATGAGCACTCAACATTGCACCTAACTTTATGAACCTAAATAGTCCTCTTCAGTAAGAGCAATCAGGCTCACAAGATGTTTGCAGAACCAGAGCATATTTAAAGTACTCATTGCCAACTAGTTCCCTACTGGCTCTGCTGTGTTTTTATTTTAAGATGTTCCTGCTTTCAAAGATAAGCATGAAGTAAACGAGACTGCTCGAAACGCCAAGGGAACAGCAGTCACACACTTCTACTTAAGCATATGCCACCATTCTACCGGCCACATCATTTAGTTGTCAGTAAACTCAGAAGAAACTGTTTGTTCTTTTCTTGCATGTGTGAAAAGAAGTAGGAAATCTCTATAAATGATGCCAAGGATGCTGCTATTTTATGATAACTAGCAGGAAATAACAAGAGTTAGGACAGAAAGAAGGTCAGTCTACTTGAATTCTGTATGGAAAAATCTTTAAAGTTGATCATAAAATTTAGTTCCGCACATATCCTGAGGATAAATATTTTGCTTCTAGCTTTGTTTTTGTTTTTTTTTTTTTTTTTTTTCTGACATATCTCTTTTCTTCCATTCATTCTTCTGAATATGGGCTTTTTGGGATTTGCTGTTTTGGGTTCCAGATGTCTCTGACATGACAATCTAGAAGCAACAGTTCTTTCCAGTGGTCTTTGTCTCATCCTTCTCCTATTTTCTCTTTTTTATTGCTTTTTCCGCCTGAACTGATGGATCTGTAAAACAGCGTGAGTTGCAGTGCTAAATCAGGATCAAGGATGCCTTTGTAAACTAAGTCTATTACCTTTCTCCTTCCAGCACCCAAATCATTATTTTAGGAAAAGCTGTTTCAGAAACAACTTGAGAATGCGAAATTTAAGCTTTCCAGATAGCATTAACTGCTCATAATTCCAAGCTGGAATGATGATACAATAAAGATTACGTCCTAAGGCATTGATGTATAGTTCTGGTGAGTCAGAGAGATAATTTCTTAATACTGATTACATCCCAGTGTTTTCTCCCATTCAACTTCCATGATTTTTTAAAGGACATCCTTGAACACACTGATGCTGTATATTACCTTGCTTAAGCCCCTAGAAAACTGCAGTGGGAATAAAATGCAGAAAAGTGTGTATTTCTAGTCCTTGTGGTGGGTCATAAAAGGGTTTAAAGTAAGCTAAGTCATGCTGGGTTGGTAACTCAACATCCTTGTTTGTTGTAATTTTTTCCTCTGGAGAGCCTCAAGTTTCAAGTATAGAAAGATTTGGCTCTTTGAGTTGCTAATAAAAAATATTAGACAAATATAAATGAAAACTCTAGTTCCTGTCTGTATCAGTGAATGTTGTGGTTCAACCCAGGACAGTGAAGAACCTGCAAAAGTAGCTGTGCAGAAGAACTGTGCGCATTTCATCTTGTTATTCTTAACTTAGGTGCTGTTATTGGAGTATAAAAGGAGATGCAGGGAGTATCTTGGGAATGTCACCATGGTCTGCTGCGAGTGGCACCTAGTCCTCCTCACTCTCCAACAATTGCGTAATGGGGAAGAAGACCTCCCAGCTCTGTCTGACCCACAGGGGTCAGAGAGTAAGTGCCGATGTTCATCCCAGCCCAACTGCCGGGAGACAGTCCTCTGTGTAGTGCGGATGGATTCCCTGTTCCAATTGTTGTCTCCTCCATCTCCTCCTTCCCTTCTCTGAAGGAGGTGGGAATGGGTCAGTCATAGGAGGATACTACTTCATTGCCTGTTTTCTGTGAGGAGGAGCAGGGGAGTTGTCTCTTGTGTGTTGATATACAATAGGAGAGCAGTCATCTCTTGGGTGTTTAGAGTGATAGTAATCTTTCTGCTTTTTGTGAGGCAGTGGGGCTCCTCACAGTGAAACTTGTGCTTATGGTTAAGATAGTTCAGCTGGTGGCTGCCCAGACCTGCATGTTGCACGTAGAGCTGTTTCAGTGCTAAACATCAACTCGGTGTGCTCAGGGGTGTTGCAGATGACCTGCGCAACCCAGACGTGCCACGTGGGATGGCTCACTACATTCACTGTGCAGGTGACACCGTGCTTTGTCTTCACAGTGACGCTAACCATGCTGGGAAAGGTTGTGTGCTGCCGGTTCAGGAGCACTAGTCGCTGCAGAATGGCAGGATTCACCCACAGATTAATAAGTTTTCTGGGATCATCCTGTTGGGAGTCACTG